CGCCACATAGGGCTTAACCCGAATCGCATCCAACTGCCAAACCTCCCCCAGCCCCTTCACGAGTTCCTCGTGTCAGTAAGGCGGCTCCATTCCATCCCCCGGCGCCAACAGCGCCCCAAACAGCCCATTCCGTGCCGCAAAGCCATGCTGCATCCTCTTCGCACCGCTCTTCCGGCAGCCCGAGCAACTTCCCTACCGCCGCCGCAGCCTGCGCATGCCCAAAGACAGCACCCGAGTGCCAACCCCACGAAAGCATATGGCTCCCGTGCAGAGATAGCCCGACCCGCGGGCCCGTCTCGTAGCCGGCGATGGTCGCGAGGAGGAGGTCGTATCCGCTAAAGGACTTGCCCTGTGTTCTTGCGTGTGCTGCGGCGGCGAGGAGGGCAGGCAGGACGATGGCGTTGGAGTGTACCGGGGCTAGAGAGTGCCAGTCGTCGATCTCGAAGCCTTGTATCTGCGTGCTGTTCAGGAGAGCTGCGGGGAGTGGGCCGATTTTCTGACTTATTAGCTCTATCCCCTCGACTTAGGTTGTGGTCACCTTGTTGTATCCCCAGACTGGGCAATTCCCAGGCCCTTCCATACCGAGCACGATGTTGGTTGCTTTTTCTGTGCATGGCAAGTGGGCTGCGACCACTGCGCAGCTGAGGCCATCTAGGATGAGGTACGTTGCGCGGGTTTGGATGTCTGCTGGGATGGTGTCTAGGGTAAGGCCTTGGACCCACGAGCAGAGTTGGCTTTTGACGCCTGGCTGAGTGTTATTCTACGGCATGATCAGGTCGGCTTCCAATCGAGACGGCAGTTGAATCGAAAAAGAGTGGTAGGGCCCGTCGAGTAACTTTATGTCAAGAAGATTAAGTGATCTTACGCAATCTCAAGCCCAAGCCCAGCTGTACTAACGATATCCCTGATCTAGAGATCTTAGGCGATATAACAGGTTGGAGATCCGAGATGCAGTTTGTCTGTTGTCGCACGTTATTGCTGCAGTGTAAGCTTGACGCAATGCGAGATCTGCATGATCGTCGTGGATCAAGCCCGAGACTACACAGCGCACAATGTCAATAATACATAGTATTTAGTTCGACGACTTGAGAACAACCGGCTAATAGTAATTAAATGCTGCCCTGCTGTAGATGAAACCATGTCAAAAGGGATTAGAATTGGCTGATATCCCTGCCTCACCCCTCGGCTCCTCTTCCTTCCCCTGTCAAGGCACAGCTCCCTTCCATCGCTCAGAATCTCCAAAAAGAATTGCCGGTGCTCACTTGATGTGTCTTACCATTTACGCGATATAAATAAGACTATCTTCGTATATACACTGAATACGAGCCAAGACCCGCCTCGATGTAATCCGGCCTTCGGGGTCCAGCCATCAGCCTTATATCAGACCATACAATATTCATGGCTGACACCTTTTATCTCGGAAGTCTGAAGCGATGGTTAGGATAGCCGAGTGAAACATGTTTAATGTCGTCCGACCAAGCTGAAGAAGGAGAAAACACCCTCGTGATAGTCAACGAAGGCAAGTTTCCTGGAAAGGGCATGGCTCACGAGATAATAGGTATGAAGGGGCGAAGGAGCTGGAGAGCCCCTGCCTGGAGCCCTATAAAGCAAGCCGATCCAACCACCATCAACTGAACCAACTCAACAATCACACTCAGTCCATTCACACAATCAAGATGAATCTCCTCAGTATTATTACCCTCCTCGCCACCCTCACCCTCGCAACTGCCATCACCGCTCCGTCCTGCACAACAATAACCCCCTCCATCGCCCGCGTCGACGCCGCACGCCCAGTCAAATTATACCTCCTAGGCTTCTGGGTCTCTCAAGAAGCATCCAGCACTAAGAAACAAGACACCTTTGCCAAGTTCACCACCCCACCCGGCGTCTGGGTCTGCACGCTCTCCTACTACTTCCCGCCAGAAACCCTAGTCACAACCACCAGCCTCGCATTAGTAGAAGTCTTCTCCGTCGCTAGTCCACTAAACTGGTCACCCCAGGGCATTAATATCTTGTAGGATTACTGTCCAGCGCCTGTAAGGATAGTGGGCAGTGTCAAGTTTAAGTTGGATGCGAGGGTGCCAACAAGCCAGGTAATTAATAGCTTTGTTTGTAAAAGGAATATGGTGTATTATCTTAGTATCTTACAGGGACATAGTCAGAAGACGAGTGTGGAGTTTGGGCAGAGTGTTGGGGTGGTATTGCGGATGAGTTATACCTGTTGAGACGAATGCTGGTGTAATTAGTGTCTGAATGCATTCTTATCTGGCCATGCCAGTCCTCTCTTGACATGCTGATTGTACAGAAGTCGCACTTTCAGCGTTTTGAGCTCATCAGGCACTTTGGCAGAGTGGCCTAATGCGATGGCCTGCTATCTCCTTTGGGAAGTCAGCCATTCCCTTCGGGGGCGTGAGTTCGAATCTCACAGGTGTCGTTTTTTTTTTTTCTCTTTTCCTTTCTTAATAATCTCCCGTCGAGGCTTTTCTACTACACACAAAGTTGTTCTCTGATTAAGGAGACAATCTCTCAAGTGTCAATAATGGTGCTGAGTTAGCGTGGGTTTTAAGGGCCAGGAGAGTCATCTTTGTTGAAGAACGAGTATTTTGAGCAAAGTGTTGAACCAATCAGGCACTTTGGCAGAGTGGCCTAATGCGATGGCCTGCTATCTCCTTTAGGAAAGTCAGCCATTCCCTTCGGGGGCGTGAGTTCGAATCTCACAGGTGTCGGTGTTTTTTTCTCTCTCTTTTTTTTTTTCTTAATGATATCCCATCAAGGCTTTTCTACTACGGACAAAGTTCATCTCTGTTGAAGAACGTAATTAATTGTCTTGAATTATCTTGAGTTGTATGATTTGCTGCTATCTACTCAAACGTTGTAAGAAATCTTCAGGCCAATTTGACCAGGTGATTGATTATCGCCGCCATTACCTCAGTGTCATATGAAGCCGTATGATAGTCGCCGGGGGAGCTCCCAGACTTGGCTTCATTCAGATGTTCATACACGGACTGCAGCCTCGTGGAGAGAAGTCCAGGAAACAACTTGCCACAGAGGGGCCCGACTTTGACTGTTTGGAAGTTCTTGTGGCCTTGGTGGGAGATCTTGTCCTGCATTAGTTCGTTGCCCTTGGACAGAATTCGCAGAAAGCACTGCATGTCCTGCATAGAGTACCAGGACAGGATGTTAATCCTTTCGGGACTGTAATCGCAGACTTTGAGGATCTGCTCTCTGGCTTGCAGTGGTGTCTTTCCGTTGGTTCTCACGTCGTCGTAGCATCTGAGGAAGAGAGTCCCCATCATCCCGTTCTTGTCGGACGCATATGAGGAAGTCATCTCTATGAACTTCTCCATCGACAAATTGTAATTGATATTACATGAGAATACCAGCTTGCCATCCAGTTGCCTAATTGCAAGTTGCAACGGGACTGGCGAGTACCTCTTTGGCATCGACGCGTATTCGAAGTCGATGATCCAGTTATTCTCAGGCTGGTCATACATCAGCTTCAATTGCTGTAGTGGTTTGCGAGTTTCATTGGTGATATTGGTCACTAGCCTTCGCTCAAGGCCTGCTGATGTGAAGGGCTGGGGCTGGCCCACCACGTGTTCGATGAGCGATGTGGAATGGTATTGACAGTAGTACGAAACCGGCGCCTCCTGTGGCTCTGGACAAGTATAGAACAGACACCTTAGTCGATCGTCTATCAGCTCCAGGCTCTTCTGAACGTGGAGCTTCAAGGCCCGAACCAGTTTCTTGCGGTAATCACGCTGGGACGTGGACTTGGGCGCCTGCTTGAGCGTTTCCTCGATGAACTCCAGGCTCAACCCATTGCTAGGAAGAGAATCGGTGATTTCTAGATGGTTTGTAAGTTCCGACAGGATATTCTCATAGCCTTGGGGTGCGAAAGAGATATCGTCAAGAGAGAGAAGCTGGAATGGTTGGACTGCTGGAACGGAGAAAGACACCGGGGGAGACTTTGCGATTACCGCTCTCACAAGAAGACCTATATCCGTGTATCTTCCATGAATCGGGGTCACGGTGTCACCGGAACGATAGCTGGAATGAAGAATGGTGCTGTAAAGCGTCCAGGTCGGGGCGAAGCGGCGAGGCCTCCAAGAGTCCGACTTTGAAAAGAGCATCTCGACATCTTCGACATACAATATTGGATTCAGTCTGAACTTCTCAAATATAGGTTGAGACTTGCGGTAGAATCCTTGCGCTTACTTGATCGCGTACTCTCTTTCTTCCTTTCTCTGTCGTTTTCGCGCCTCGCACTTCAGAATCTCGTGATCAATCGTCCAACCCTGGAGCAGGAGCGTGTCCGGAACCGTCTCTTGCTTGACGGAACCTCTCAGACAGAGCGACAAAGGCAGCAAGGTTTGCGCCTTGGTCTTGAGTGACAGGCTTATAGCCCAATGCTGCGGTGCGCCGTTGAATGGTTGATTGTAATCAAAGCCGATGCGGACGGGAATAGCTTCATCAATCTGCAAGTGGAAAGAGTCAGACCATGTCAGTATTACATGGGAACTGGGTGGTGACCGACCTGAGTGTTGCTAGCAACCAAACTTTCGCAAATCAACTGTACACAGACTCTTAATTCGTGATAGCAAGGTGTACATGCCTCTAGGCCAGGCTGTCTAAGGCTGTAGTCGGGTGCAAGCCTATATAGCTGAGCACTGACTTCTTGTACCTTTGGGATCGGTTTGCTCTGATCATGCAGGCTTTGAGGTTGAGAATGGAGTGTAGAAAATTCGATAGTCTCTGGATCAGGCTCGCGTGGATGTCCAGGGTGCAAAGTAGCTTCCGGCCGATTTAGAAACTTATAAGCGCCTGCAAAGTTCTTTATCCTTCCGCGACGCCCTCCTTCGATTCCTATAAATGGCACCGGATGTATGATCGGATGCAACTGTATCGTCAGTCCAGGGCCGAACCAGAGAGTTTTCCCGGCATACCTTGTAATAGTCTTCTCCCTGTATGTATTTCATAGCGGACAGTTGGGCCAATGTGAGTCGCAGAAATGGATAGACCCCATTCTTGAATCTCTCCGACAATGGCACGGCCAAGTATCGCTCTCCATCGTCCCGCGAAGAGCCTTGCTTCATGGCTGTGATTTTCGCCTCCTCATTGATCCATCTTTGTAACGTGGAATGATTGATATGTAGGAGCTCAGCTGCGCTAGAGGTAGATATATCACGCTCCTCGCCGGTGAAGGGGTTTACATGAACGTGTGTCCGGTAGAATTCGATAGCACCCAGCCGCTGCTCCTTCGAAAAGATAGTCAGTTCCCGCTTGTAGAGGCGGCTTGCTATTTGTTTATTGCCAACGCTTTCCAGAATGGTCTGTTGACCTTTTGTAAATGGCTTGTGCGAGGTAGAGCTGTCAGAGCTTAGTTCTCTGGCAGATCCCAGAGACCTTCTGGCCCTATCCACCATCTTTCCTCTCATATAGGCCTGTTTTGCTGTATACGATGTCCCGAACTCCCGGCCATAACAAATGTAATCTCGTCCAGGGGGAGGCTTGTAGATATCCGGAAAGCTCAATAAGCAATCATAATCTGCGTCATCAGGCGTGCCGCCGTCACGAATGCATACCAGTTTATGCCGCATTATGACCTCCAACTTCGCCATTGTTCCGTTCCAGAAGAATCCGTCTTTATGGCTGACTTTCGGGCGTAACTCGCACATTGACAGAATTTTCTGCAGCAAGGGATCTTTGATATCGCAAAGCTGCCATGTATTGTCATCAGGCACAAAGTTTCTCCCGTTGAAGATGTGTGGAATGTTGTCCTGTCCTTCGAGAAGCTGCGGGAAGGCCAGTTCTTTTTTATCTTCCCAACAATGATGTCCGCGCTCGACGACAGGATCCATGTTGATATCAAACGTAACAGTTTGAAAGTGGCGAAACTCAGCACTTGTTCTTGGGTCAAATCCGAACTTGACCAGGGCTTTCTGCCAGGGACCGTTCTTGAACATGTAACCACAGAGCGGGAGGGCCTTTTCAACGATATCTTTATCTCCCAGACTCAGCTGGTCCATCATCGATCTCACGGTTATGACTGGCTGCCGGTGCAGAATATCCTGGATTATGGCCGCGGTGTTTCGAAGAGATTCAATGGCGATGGACTCCAGGTTGATAGCATTGCCTTCTCCCGGCGAGGCTTGCTTCACGGTAACAATCTTTCCCCTGAACTTAGGAAGCATTTTCAGACTCATCTCCCCTTGATGGCGGCTTGGTTCGTTTGGCGGGCATTCAGTGCTTGTTTGGACTGGCCGATGCGAGCGCTGAGGGTCCATGGTCAATGGCGGCGGAGGATGGCCTATTCGATGGACATATTCTGGAGCCACTGAGAGGCCAGCGGAATGCACCTTGTGTTGTTTGTTTGTTGGTGATTCAAGCAAATAATGTCACGTGAGCGGCCAGAGAAAAGGCCAAAAAACGACACCTGTGAGATTCGAACTCACGCCCCCGAAGGGAATGGCTGACTTTCCTAAAGGAGATAGCAGGCCATCGCATTAGGCCACTCTGCCAAAGTGCCTGCGTCTTGGTTTACGGTCGCAGTTGGTGCTCTATATCAGCCAAAAAGTGAGCGTACTACCAACAAGTGTTTAAACATCTCTTGCAAAAACACGTGGATTCACCTGCTATATCCTATTCAAGTAGCAGCTGTTCGGCTTCAAATCACCCTGCATGGAGGACATGCTCAATCCCACCCTCCTGCTCACTCCATCCCACCGTCTTCGCCAGTGACTGCTCTTCCTGCCTTATCGTCCGCTCAATCAACGCCTTCAGCTTAAAAACCGCCTTCGACGATTCCCAGAGCCCGTCTCTAGCCGGCAGACTAGAGTGCTGGAGGAGCGAAAGCGCAGCGTCTCTGTTCTGTGCGTTATTTGTCTTCAAGCAGAGGAAATACAGCACGGCCACGAGCTGCGACGACAGGGTAAAATGCTTGGGGGGGTGTGCTCTGGGTTGAGCGAGACAAACGCCTGGATATCCTGCAAGGCCGTTTGCAGACTGTCATTGGGCGTTTGCTCTTTCAAGTGCGGGATGTTCTCAATCAGAATGGCAGAGTACATGCGGGCTTGGATCCTTAGTAGTAGAGGACGATTGGACCTATCCAAAGCCAGAAGCCGTGCAGCAAGGACATCGAGCGCAACAAAGAACCGCTCAAACTGCTGATGCAGCACGAGTCGTTCGTGCAGGATATCGAGGGGAAGGGCCCCAGGCGGGTCGTGTTTGTGCGCGACATGCACGATGATCGTGTGCAGGAGCCAATTCTGGAGCTTTGTGAGGACCGCCTCTGCTTCTTCTAGGGTTGATAGCTCGTCGGGGACTGTGCCGACCGTCCCTGAGGTTTCTGCGGGGGTGACCAGGGATAGCATGGGCATGCGGTCGTCATCGATCGCGCTGGCGTGGATGTCGAGGCGGGAGAGGATGGATGTG